CTCCACCGCTCTTGCTCCGCTCGAAAAAAACGGGGCCCCAACCACGAACACACTCTTTGAGCTCGAAATATAAACGGGTTGAACACGAGCGAGCCATGCTCAGCTCGTGTTCGGCTCGTTTACACCCCTACTCATGTGAGGGGTGGGGATCTATTTATAGTGTTCTGGGTGGAATTAATGTAAGAATATGAATCATTTTGATCGAACGGTCTGAATAACTTCCTTCAATCAAACAATGTTTAATGAATATTTGAATGCCTTAATGATGTCTGAATTGAGTGATCTTGGGTTCGTTGGATTCTTCTTGTCGAGACGCACGATTTGACTATAAACTTGCCAAATTCGACAATTGTTTGACCTTTCAAATGTGTCTGAAAACCTTTTAAGAATGGTTTGATGACTTGATCTCGGCTTGATTTGACTAAAATTGGGCTGCCTTTGATATCATTAGGTTCGTCTTATCGAGTCAGTCAGCTTGAATATAAGTTTGTTGAAATCAGAGCTCTGGATGAGGTTTTAATCAAGGTTTGAACATCCCCTGCTCAAAATATTATCTCGAAATATGTGTCATGCTTTGAGATTCGTGCCAGATAATAATAATTTGTTGGAGGCGTATCAAGACCGGCCCAAAAAATCGGACTTGAATTGACCAAACCTAGCTAAAGTTCAACGACAGACTTTTTTTTCATTGCACAAATGATCAATCAATTAATTAGACATGCAAAATTCATTATAGCACAACATTCTATTATCTAGTTTATCTCTAAACATTTGAAAGTCACTACTAGCTTTCATCACGTTTTCATCTTACAAAGTTTTCTATCTATAATTTACTTTCTTCAAAATGTCAACTTATTTTTCTCTCCAAATACCATTACTTATCTTTTATAAATACCCTCCATGAGTTAGGAAAAAATAAAGACGGAGAGAAATGAAGCTTGATTTTAATCTTCCCATAATTATCAAGGTAAATGCAATGCTCCGAACTTCAAGACATTCTCTCTAAGTCTACTCTCATCATCATCATCATTTTATGCTTTCAAAATAATAAGAATATATGCTTTTAAAAATACATAAATTATTTGGTTAGATGCAAACCAAATACATTAAGATAATCTTGTCTATGTTTATTGTGAAATAAATATTATAAAATACATTAGTTAGTCAAAGTTGTGGAATGTGGTATCTGGTTGAAGGGGAATATGGTAGTAATTGGGTGATGGTGCATAAACAACAAAAAAAGTGTGTAATGGTGGGCATCAATAGAATTAAGAGAGTGGGCATAATCATAATAATAAGAAGATAAGTGGAGATAGTGGTATAATCTGTAATAATTGGAAGAGATGTAAATAGCTTTATGAGGAAAATGGTAGTTGATGGTAGTTAACATTTAAAAATATTGGGAGGCAACAACAGACATATAGATGAACAACATCAATAATGGTGGACAGTGGTTATAGTGAGCAGTGGTGCTAGGTGTTAAAGGAAAGATTTAGGGTTTTGAGTTAATTCAACATCCATTGAAATACAAAACAAGGAATTTTTCATCAAATACCTAGAAGAAGATTGGGATGGGAAGAGAATATAACTCCAAGCCTGTTTAAATGGGATTCATTGTATTTAGCCCTTATAAGAAATATTTCTATTGAAAATAAGTATATTTGATGAGAGTGTACAACTAAGAGGACAATATAACTCCAAGCTTGTTTAAAAGGAATTCATTGTATTTAGCCCTTATCAAAAATTATTCTATTAAAAATATTATCTAGTATATTTGATAGCATTGTACACCTAAGAAGCGCCAAAAGACACAATCCTCAGTTCTTAAGCAAGAGATTTCAAGTTAAAATCTTGCCTGCGGGCCCCACAATATGATACTCCCTATATAGAGCTTATGAATCTACAATTAGACCTTTGTCCTACTCATAATAATTTTAAAAAACTATTCATTATAAACTTGATTCTTTAAAAAAATATCCAAACACACTTCCTCCAAAAAGCTTCCCCTAAACATCCAAAAATACCATAAAAACACATGGACAACAGTAACTTCGAAAAATATGCTTGGTTGAACTGCAAAACAGTTAAGGTAAGGTGTTGCAAGGGGCCCGCTGAACCCTTGTAGGGTTTCAGCTCAATGAGAGGAGTCTCCTTCTCCCAATTTATATATATGTAAGTATGCATGCATGTACGTAAGTACACATGTATGCATGTATGTATTTTCTTGTGTTAGGGTTTAGTTTTGTTGAGATTTCTATTGGGACAGCCTACAACATCCCATTTTTCCTTCTAGGATTATATTCAATAGCGAGAATGTGCTCTGATTGTAACTCGTCAAAGATGGTGTGCATTTTCCCTTTTTTCTCTTTGTTATCATCTTCCTTGCACTCCCATACACATGTTTTCCAGTTGTCAATCCCAAGAGCCCCCGCCCCCCAGCGC